GTGAGATGGTAAAGGAAGGAGAGAACCCTGTATATGATATAATATATTTTAACTTTTGTTCTAAAATTACATTATGCAGTGGGCCATGGGCCATTAAATATTTTAGTTTTTAAACCTAAAAGAGATGGTAAATAATTAAAAAGTAAGCAAGCATGTACTTGTCAAAAATCACTCTGGTTAGATAGAAACTTAAAATGAAATATTGGGACAAGATTTCTTTTAAGACAATTAGTTAGGAAAACCTAGTAGGTGATCTAAGAGATTAGGTGATCTTGGTGCTACTGGAGATTGAAGGCAGTAGTATCTAGGAGCAGTTTTTCTTCAGGAATTAAATTCAAGACTTAGTGACGAATGTGATATAGAAAAAATAGGAAATGGACAGGGTCAAAAGTAACTTTCTATTTCCTTGGAGTGAGAAGTGTTGAATTTTTTTGCAAAAACATCGCTTGGTCATAAAATGCAGTTTTGAGATTAGGATTATAATTCCTGAATGCACCCTCTTTTGGTAAGGAGAACATTTGACAGTTGTGGATTATTGCTTTTGTCTAACCTATCACTACAATGGTCTTAGGCTTCAGTCTACAATAAGGATAGAATATCATAGGTTTGGTATCTTTAAAACCAGTCTTTACATATGTTTTTAGTATAACTTTTTGGGTTTTAAATCCATCCTGTTGTGTAAGATTTTTTAAAAATATATAGCTTATTTTTAGCTTGATGACACATTTGCATAAATCAGTCACACTGAGCATTCAGGTATTAGTATTCATATCCTATGCTTCTTGACAAATTGGATATTAGAAACAGATAGAGGCCTAAGAGGTTAGAAATTTTAGGCATGAAAAACAATGATTTTGTGACTTAACCAGAACCGTCAAGGGTGAAATTAAATAGATTACAAAAGACCATTTCCAAGATACAGGGTCAGCAGCTAAACTGTCTCCCTGTGGCAGACAGATTATTCATAGACCATAAAGAACAGGATTCAATCCTCCAAATTGCTTTCTAGTCCTCACTCTGATCTTGATTATGACGTTTTACATCTATGATACATTTTAGGTATTCCATCCAAAATTATTTTCTGTTCAAGATAATTCTCAATATGCTTATTGTTATTAAAATATTTGGTACATATCAAAACTAACTAATTATCCTTTCATTAATGCAACATTTAAAAACAAACACTTTGGCTGTTATGAATAAGCTTATTAACAGATTAGGTTCATGTGCCTAATCAATCTCTCTTCATTAGTGTTGTGAGTCTAAAAAAGGTAAATATATGTACATTAATTATATATTATATGTATTTTTATACATCTATATATTATATATTGATATTTTGTATATTTATGTCTTTATTTTAATATATTTCTATTTATATATGAAGATATATACATATCTATATAGATACATATACATACATACATACACACACACACACACACATACATATACATATATACACACTGATTCGGAATCCAGAAAAATCTAAAGTATCTGTTGACCTTCTATACATGATAACATCTTACTGGGGGCATCTGGAAATTGCAAGAATCAAACTTAGTGGGAGTTATCTAAAAGGATCTGACTTTGAGGAAATATAGTAGAGTCTTACTCCTGGGCAGTTTCTGCTAGCAAGAGAAAATGAAGATAGAGACTTATGGACTGCTCTCATTGAAGGAGGTTCAATGGGCAGGGCAGAACCACAGTTCAGAAAAATTCAGCAAATATTCTTTCCGGATGAACCCTTATCAGATTTTTAGGTTACTGGATGAATATGACACATACTTGGTTTTAATGAACCTATGTGAGAGAGACTGTTGTAATTAATCTGGTGGAAAACAATGTGTACTTCAGGAATATGGAAAAGAAGCATTTTATCCAGAATGGCGGCATAGAAAGTTTTCTACTAGTAGTGATGCCTTAGCTGTTTCTTAAGAGAGGAGTAAATTTAGCTAGGGAAAAATGAGGAGAAAAATATATTTTCGCAGATGTAAAATATTAATTTGTGTTGGTAAGATGGAGAGTGAACTATGTTAATGGAAAGAGTGGGAGAATTAGGCAGAGCTTGGATTTGGCCAGTGTTATTTCGCTTATCCATATAAAGAAAGTTTACTCTTAAAGAAAATAGTAACAAATTGGTGAAGAGCTTGTAAATATTCGACTGGACTCACCAGTTTTCCCCTTTCCCTTCAGGCTACATACACATAAAGTAATTTTTTGTTTAAATATCTATTCCTCTACTGATATTTACTAAAATATATTCTTTCCTACTCTCTGTAGCTATAATGACCTTAAGTAAGGCAGGGACTATGTATATATGGGGGAATGATCTTGAAAAATACTTATTGTCCACCATGCAACAGATGAGAGAGTTGGTAGTTGAATATCTTCTTTTAGAACTGATCGGGTTTTATCTTTTATATCCTTCACAAATTGCCTCCACCTTCTTGCTCTCCTATTCCTTCTCTCTACATGCATTATATATTTTTCAGTCATATGTTATTAGAAAATTTACTAAAGAACTGACTTCACATATACAACATTCTACATACCTGTGTGGGTGTTTATGTGTTTCCTCTGGTCTCTACCACTCCCACCTAAAATCCTTGAAGAAAAGAGCTCTTGATTACTTTTTTCTTTTAATTTCCATGCAATATATGGTAATAATCTATATACTAGTACATAGCAATTAACTGATAAGTTTGATTAAATTTTGAATATATAAAGGAAGGAAAATGAAACAAATATAACTTATGAGAACATGAGAATAAAATATATTTATGAGTCAGAGATATGGAATAGGTGAAATTTGTAATTCTAAAGGGAAGGAAACATCTGTTAGGCAGAGATACAGGCAAAATACAGGCAAAAACAAAACTAGGTAACAAAATGTTCCTATAATTAAAAGATATGATGCAAATAAAGTAAGTGTTTTCATGTGATAGAAAGGCAAGCTGCTTAATTCTATGTAAAAGATGTTTGGGCTCGTATATGTCTTTTTATGTTGCTATAACAAAATTCTTGAAACTGGAAATGAATCAAATAAAGAGGTTTTTTTAACTCACAGATTAAGGCTGAAAACTCAGGATTGGATAACTACATCTGTTTGGCCTCAAATAAGGGCCTCCTGGTCACAGATAACATTGCGATGACAGGGATTTGTGTGTGTGTGTGTGTGTGTGTGTGTGTGTGTGAGAGAGAGAGAGAGAGAGAGAGAGAGAGAGAGAGAGAGAGAGAGAGATGCACGGTTGCATACAACACCAGAGAGATTTAGGGGTTTTAGGACTAGACTTTGATCCTTTATATTAACTTAATTTTATGGGAACAAACCAGGGTCCCAAGAGAACCACATTAATCCCTTCTGAGGGAAACGCCCCCTGTCACCCAAAAACCTCCCTCTAGGCTGCACCTTTTAACAGTTGTACTGCCTCCGAACATTGCCACACCAAGGACCAAGCTTTCATCCTATGAACCCTTGATGGATATTTTCTTAAAATGTTGTTCAAAGAAATGTTCTCCTTATTCCAAAGGAAGCCTATAAGATGTCTGTGTCATAATTTAACTTTGATTTGGGATGAGAATAAAGCTTCTGGGAGAGTAGTGATAAAAGCATTGTACAGGTGACAAACATGAGGAGCTGAACTTTAGGGCACCTGGAGAAGACAGAGGAAGTGGGATGAGCATGTGAGAGAATTCACACCTTACAATGCAGAACAGTGCTTGCTAAAGACCTTGTTATTCATACACATATTCATAAAAATGGAAAAAAAATTAGTAAATAAATCTTGAAATCATCTTTCAAATAACATAAAATTGGATGTCTTTATGCAAAGTTAATCTGATATTTGTACAGGAATATGTCAAATACTTACACATACATATGTCAGTATGTCAAATATATATGACACCACTCTATCACCCTGTCTTTGTATCTCCTAAAAGAATGTTTTTTTTGTATCAGATATGTACATTTGACATCTTTCAGGCAAACCTTTCACATTGTAACTGCCATCTATATTATAGCACATGCTACTGTTTTTATGTTCATACCATGTGATACCCAGCAAGGTATTAGCAGTGTTTGAAATTATGAATTAGTTACCACTACTGATTGATATGCAATACACAGAAAGTTTTTTCAACATTGCAGGTAATAGACTGTGCACAAGTAATTTGTATTTTTTGTAAAAAATTACAATGTTTTATGATATTTTAAAGTCTATAATAGTTTCTACAATGCTAATTATGTATATTATCAAGTTAATGTGTTATTATTATCAGAATTATAACATCTGATAGATTTTATATCTTCCATTTCCATGAATCATTAGGCAATGTATCTGTTATTATATAGTGGTTTTTATATCGTGAATCTCTTCCTAATATATATACATATATTCTTTCTTCCTTTCTTTCTTCCATTTTTCTGATCTGCTTCCATTGATGACTCTATACTTTTGACTGCAGACTGGCAATATGAGGGTAAGATGACAAAAATAAAACCCCAAACAACCTCATGAACATTGCTTGTCTGTCTTTGTTTTATTCTTTTTAGAACATTATTAAAATTCTATTCACTCTCTTTAATTAGACCCTTTATCACAATTAAAGTCCAATTATGTTTGTTTCTGTTGTGAAGCTTTAATTACCATTTATCCTTGTTAATCATTCCTTTATGTTATTTCTTTGGGTTAAATTATCATCTCATCATCTCTGTCCTGAAGGACTTCTTCTCTCCAGTGATCTCTGCTGGTGTTTTCTCAGTAAGATTTGAATAGTTTTTTTGGTGTACAAAGTGACTATGTCATGATGTGGTAAGGAATCTGTGGTTCTTAGGAAATATTTTTTAAATAATAAAATATTTTAAATAATGATACATGTTAATTGTGTTGTATGATTTGTCTTTGGAAATATCAATGTATATCTCAATGTATTTGATCTTGGAGTGAGTCCTCCCAGAATTGTTATTCTTACCTTTGATCATTCTCTCTCTTTAGATTGCAAACTAGCTAGGGGAGGACCACCAGCCACCATAGTTGCTATTGATGAAGAGAGTCGGAATGGTGAGTGAGTTGTTTTATCATTGTCTTATCTAAGAAGGGTTTATCAAAATTCAACTCCTGATTTGACATCAGATGAGATGTTAAATCCAAATCCAAATTAATAAATAATTCCCTTCTAATTTGTCTATAGTATGCATTTAAATTATGCCATTGCTGGAAGTGCTTTATTTGAGGGCTTCTTTCAGTGAACTCAAGTGTTTAGTTCTCCTTGAGAGGAGGTGATTCTGAGTCAGCACAAGAATGCACATACCTATGGGCTGAGATATTTCTTTGTCAGTATGTAGAGTTGACAATCATGCATATACTTCTCTAACTGAAACACAATATATTCCTTAAAAGTGATCCACAGGTAAGCCTTATACTGCAAACTTCAATTGTCTGAAATTTGGTGAAGACTAAGATTCAAACCTAATTAGATATAGGGATATAATCAGTGAAGGGGTGACTTAAACTTGCTTGAAGAAGTGAACATGACAGAAGTTGAAACCTGAGAATGTCCGAATTTTCATCTGTAGTCTACAGTGATTAACAACTAAGATAGAACATATCTAAAACTTCAAGGATAATTTTTCTTATCAAAATAAAAATAAATATTCAAGATTTTTTTTGTAGCATTCTCATTGCATCTTTGAACTTTAATGTATGAATAAAGTTCTCTCCTTTATTAGGTAGAAGGAAAATGGATATCTGTGGGGCTCTGCTATTTCAAACTATTCTCTGTGTGAATGAGGTCTGAGGCTCATTTTGTCTGCTGATTCTGTGGTGCACCTTCCATTGGGTTTTTTGATTTATACTTCTTCTCTACTTTAAAAAGTGTTCTTCCAGATTAATATTTTTAAAAGGAAATTAAAGTGGTTTATTAGAAAGTGAGATTTTCCTGTAACAGCCTTTACACACTTAGAAAAAATTTATTATATATATATATATATATATATATATATATATATATATATATATATATAATACCTACAATAGTTCACTTCATCACAGATTTATATTACTCATTTGAAGAATTGTCACAAATTTATGTTTTTGAACATTCTTTGTAATCATTCAAAATGTCTTCACTATTGCTATCTTCCATTTAAGTGAATTTATGTATCTACCCTAAATTTTTCTTATATTAAAAAATCACACAAAGACAATATTCTGACTATTTTTAAAAATCCATATTGATAATGAAAGCATATGAACTTATAGTTATCATAACTCATTTAAGTAAGTTGGAAATGAATCCTAAAATAATTTGCCCAAAATACAAGAAAATACTATAATTGGAATACTATAATTGGAAAATATTCTTTCTCACATATTGAATTAAATTTTTTTATGATTACCTATTTTTATTCCAAAATAGCCTATATTTTCTAAATGTTCTACAATGAAAGTTTAAATTTGCAACCAAAGAATAAAAAGCCTATAAATATGATAAATGATCTATGTACATTTTTAATAGATAATTCCCGCAAACATAAAAGCTGAGCTGAAATAAGACATTTATTTTACTAAATAAATTTTGTTTTAATATGTGATTCTGTACAGAATTTTGCCAACCAGGTAATTATAGCCACAGTAATGATGCCGTTTTACCTTCTTTTGCACTGATTATATTACTACTTTTCAAAGGACCTTGGGAGTGCTACAAAGATGTTGCCATAGCAGTTCTGTACAAGAACATGTGGCGAAAGTTCAATATTTGTGTTTTGGAAAAATGTGACATGATACAGCGTAGTAAAGTTGTGCTCCTTACTTGGCATATTTTGTAGAAACTGCCAACTACTCAGAATGCTGCCAAAGTTGTTGGAGTGCTATCACAAGTAATATAAATATCGACCTACAGAATAAATGTTTTGCTTTATTCTTTTACATTAAGTTTTTAAAAATATGGTCAAACTCCTGCCAGAAAATTCAATGTAGTGTGTAATCATTCTTGTCTTAAAAGTCTAAGGGAAACAATTCATGGAAAAGTTTTCATATTTTTTTTTCTTTAGGCAATCCAAAAAACTTCCCAATAATAAGATTATTTAAAACCATGCTCTTAAACTTTCTTAATTTCTCCTTTCCTGCATCTTTTAATTGGTAAGAATAAAATACTTGTTATCCTATTTTGCCAGTAAGATGAACTCTCATTTTTAAGGGTTTGGGGCTTCTTAAAAGAAAGTCAGCTAGGCGCAGTGGCATACACCTATAATTCCTCAGCAGCTCTGGAGGCTGAGACAGGACAATTGTGAGTTCAAAGCCAACTCTAGGAACTGGGAGGGTACTAAGCAACTCTGTGAGACCATGTCTCTACATAAAATACAAAATAGGGCTGGGGTTGTGGCTCAGTGATCGAGTACTCCTGAGTTCAATCCCTGGTACCAAAAAAAAAAAAAAAAAATGGTATAGCAAATGCTATATTAAGCAAAACTGGTAAATTCATTGTGAATCAACTTGTCATTGGCTAACTTTATTGCTGTCTGATGCTAAACAGCCTGTGTCATTTTATGTACATTTGGAAAATAAAAGATGATACTGAGGTGTCTCTATAATTTTGAAGCAACATCTCCAAAGGAAAGGGTGTCACAGCTGACTAATGAAGTTATGATTAATCATTAGGACACATATTCCACAGTTGGAGTATGATTGAGTTACAGAGTCAAAGACACACTTGCCTCAGAAAGATGGAGGAAGTCCTATTAAGGAACACTAAATGTATCCAGTCACTCTGTTCCTGAAGTTTCTCTTGCCTAAGTATGTGGTTAGAAGAGAAGGGACCTGGGCATGAAGGTTGTTCATCTATTTGAAACAATTATGGTGTTAGGGAAAATTTAGGTGTTGCCCTATAGGATCTTTTCCTTCCATTGTCAAAATCAGTAGGCCTAGAATACAAGATAAAATTTTTTAAATGTTTTGTTGATATTTTTCTCTATTTTGTGATTGTCAATTTTAAAACCATTAGATTAACAAGAAGTTAGACAAACCTTGCCATGTGCACATCCAAAGATGCAGTGGAAATTTCACATGCATCTCGTACAAGAGGCTTTGGACTTATGAACAGAATAAAAAAACAAGTCTTTGTAAAAGTTCCCAAATATTTAATAAGGTGTATATAGTAAAAATAGTTTTTGGCACTAGGTATTTATAAGCCATTTTTGATGGGTTTATCTTTATTCTTCTCCTAAGTTCTCCAGAAAGATTAAAACTACCAGAAATTTTTGGAAGAAAAGCATAGTGAAAGAAGTATTGATTCTTTATTCACAGCTCAAAAGTCAGGGATATGACACAACTAAAACCTCAATGAGAAACAGCATGATATTAAGAAGAAAAAGGAACTGAGGAACCAAGATTCAGAGAGCAGGCAGCCTGGGCGACAGTGTTGGGGAAAGCACAATTTTACCAAGATGTTGTAAGTCTAGGAATTCATAGGGGATTAAAAGATGCTTCAGTAGGTTTTGGAAAGATATTATTAAATATTAAAATCCTTACCTGGACCTGGCCTTTGTTCTTCTTTCTTTCAATGTGTGACAACGAAGATACTTGTATGAGACATTTCTGACTTTCATTATCATCCCTTCTCTGTTTCTCCCTTAGTTCTGTGATAGTTACTTTGGTTATTTCAAAAAGGTACATAATGTCAGTTTTGCTATATAATTTCCACATTTAAATAAGAATTGTATACTTATTATAGAAATCAAGCTTTTAAAGATGCATAAACTTTTTGCTGAGAAAAAGAGGGTTGTAATGCAAATGTCCTTGTAAGGGATAGTTCTGTTTTTAAGCAGTTTCTCTTGTATGTATTTTTGTTTCACTGTTGTTTTGCATGATTGCATTATAGTGAAGGTAAACAGACTTTGTCTCTTTATTTGATAGTATTCATTATCAAATCCCAGAATTATCTTTGAGCAAAAGATCATTACCTCCAGAATGCAGCAAAAGTAGAAGGCAAGTTTAAATGAATAGAAGAAATTATAATTTTGTATAACAAACTATTGACTAATGAAACTGAATGATTTTCATGAGAAAAGTAGTTCTATAAAGATTTCAGCTAATTAGCAATGACTGCATCATCTTATAACATATTAAAACAAGTCTAATATATTTACGGGGTTACATGGAATTGTAAATGTTGACATCAAGCCAAAGACCTTTAGCAAAATATGGTAGTTCTATTTTTCTGGATAAACAGGAAAAATATTTCCTTTTGTTATATAATTTTTAGTATACTAATTTAATTTTAACTACAGAAAAATTAAATATTTTTATAAAACATTAGTTATCCTCTGGCTAAATTGCTTATAGAGGTTGCATAGCACCAAGGTTATGATTTCAAACTCATTTATTATCATTACTGCATTTCCTTTTCCAACTCCTTAAGTCATTCTGAGTTATTGACAGTAAAAGCTGTACACAGTGATGAAGAAATAAGGGTTTTTCATAAATCATGAAGAAGTGTTCATGTCCATTTTCTTGGGTATTTTAATCTTCTTATAACTGTTTTAATAGAAAACAATTTGACTCTGGTCATTTTTAGTGAAGCTACATCTGCAATAATGCATTCTGCTTTTTTTATTTGTGCCAATGGATCATTTCCTAAAATGTCAGCAGCTACAAACCTTCTGAATGTGCAGCAAAAAGAAATAAACAGAAAAGTTTATAAGAATTAAGAAAATAGGTTGATATTTATCTCCTCAAATTATGTACAATTTTATAGAACTTTCATCATGTCGTATGCCTTTTCTTGCTCATTAACTAAATAGCACTAAGTATGGGGTGGGATAGCTGGAGCTAAAGGAAGGACAATAAAACAAGGAACAGAATATGCGAAGCAGACTGAAGTCAGAAAGACCAGCAAACTAGGGAAAACTAACCAGAAAACTAACTGTAGAAGTTAGTGACACCTCAATTACTGTTTAAACTTCAGGATGCTAATGTTATTAAATATGATGAAATATGTGGCAAGGAATTCTCTGTTTTTCAGGAAATAAACATCACATTTAAGGAAAAATATTCTAATTTTA